AGGGAAGGGGGTAAAAGAGGGAAACAAAAGCAGAAGATGGGAGGGGGAGGAGGGAGGAGGGGGGAGGGGCGAGAGGGGGGGGGGAGAGGGGGATTGCACATCACGAGAAGACCGAATCCGCGATGTATCAGTAACACAAGACGCAACCGCTGTGCAAATGGCCGGCTCCTCTTCCACGACTCTGCTGTTTATTGACGTCACTCTCCTCTTTTACGTGTTCTGTGGCGCGCCTAACTATATAACTTCCATCTGTCTATAAATGCATCTATATTATAAATCAAGTCGATCTATGTTTGTCTATGTATGCAAATATGTATGTGGAGTACGTATGTATCTGTCTCTCTATCAGTCTATCTATCTATATTTAGCTATACCTATCTTTATTTCCATGTATGTAAGTTTCACTCTCTCCCCCCCCTCTCCCCCATTTCCTTCTTCCCTCTCCCCTTTCTCTTTCCTTTCCTCTCATTCTCCCCTTCTCCCTCCTCTCCTCAGCCTCCCACTCCCATTCTCTTCTCCTTTCCTTTCCCACCCTCCCTCCCCCCTTTCCCCCTTCCCTCTCCCCTCTCTCCCTTTCCCCATTCCCATTCCCTTCCTCTTTCTCCCTCCTTCCCTCTCCCCTTCTCCTTCCATTCCTCTCCCTTCCTCTTCCTCTCCATATTTTCCTCCTCATTTCACACGTCGCAGGAGATGATACTCAACAGCTTGGACAAAGGACCCGAGACGAGAGAACACGACCAAGTGAGCAATGAACGTACAACGTGTTGTGTGTGTGTGTGTGTGTGTGTGTATGGTGTGTGTGTGTGTGGTGTGTGTGTGGTGTGTGTGTGTGTGTTTGTGTGTGCGCCACTGTGTGTGTGTGTGTGTGTGTGTGTGTGTGGTGTGTGTGAGTGTGAGTGCGTGACGTGGTGTGTGTGGCTTCGCTATGCGTGTGTGTGCTGTGTGTGTGAATGCAATGGTGTGGGTGCGTGTGCCTGTCGAGGAGTGAGCGAATGAGAAAGAGAGATAGATAGATAGATAGTTAGATAGATAGATAGATAGAGTGAATACCTGCACGAATAAACAAATAAATGGGCAAGTAAGTGAAACTGGCCGCCCTGAGTGAATCAGTAGGTGAGTGAATGAGGCGAGTGCGTGAGTAAGTGAATGGTCGAGTGAAAGAGACGAGCGAGTTGAAGCGAGTGAGTTGCGTGCGTGCGTGTGCGTGTCCGCATGTAAGTCCAAGGAAGGGACAGGGTGCCGATCACCTTCGCAGTGCCAAACCGGCGACTTTTCGTGTCACCTTTCAAGGAGGAGAGATAAGGCGACACGTGGCTCGCTCGCTC